CATCAATATAGACTAAGAATAGGATACAAAATCAAGAAGACACCCAGCTTTGAGTAGCTACAAAGGGGTGTCTTCAGGCCCAGCAATGCTCTATGCACTGCTTGAGTGCAACTTTCCACTGATGCCTGAGATGTCCTATAACATCTGTATGTGGTTCACAGATGTGAGCTAAGAGCTGTAAGAGACCAATTCTTGTAATGCAGCAGCTGAAGATTAGACAAGAGATCCTGGAACATTCAAATGACACTAAACATCAACATTCAAGCAACTAGAGCACTGGATTTTTAAACTATCACTATAAATGAATAAGAGGTCTCATTAAAGTAAGTCAGTGGAGTTTGGAAACCAATTCTGTTCACTCTAAAGTAGACACCTAGTTGCCAGTTACTTGAATTGCTAAATACAGACATCCACATTTAGTGGTCTTAATCTCAGACTAAGTTCTACCATAGATGTCTTAAAAAAAAAAAAAATCACCCAATCCCAACATTGTTTCAACATTCCAGCAGCCACCGCTGTTTTTCAATTAAGTTGGCAGAAATCACACTCCTCCCCAGTGATTCCCAGGTAAAATATATCCAACCATACTCTTGTTTTCTACCCCAATTAAAAATGCATGTCAATCAAGTAAACATTCGTTTTCTTCACAGGAAAATTAATACAGGCAAGAGGTAACTCACTGTTCATCAAAAGAATTCTCCATCAAGCTTTAGTGCCTCAAAGGGTAAGCAATAAGCAGCTGGATAATGCCCTGGATTACTCCTCACTCCCTTATGTTGTTTCTACACTAGCATTTTAGTACATATCAGAAGTGCAAATTTGATGTGAATCTCCTAATCATTTCCACTATGACACTTCGCCTCACGTTTCAGAGCAGTTTAAGAATGAACAAAACACATTACTTTCAGATAAAGCTCAACTAAGACACATTCTGGAAACTCCCCTGTGCCACCTTGGCCACTAACAAACTTTCAGACCCTGTGAACAGCCTAGAGCTAGTAAAACACACTGAAATGCAAACAGTACATTTCACAGCAAGTCCTTAGATGTTCTGCTGTGCAGACTTACTCGGGTTGAGCTGCAGGACTTCCTAACACAGGCACAGCCTCAGAGCTCCCCCTTGACCACACACCCCAACCCATGGCTTGAACAACTTGGGAAACACAGACTGTCACGAACAAACCCAGTACCAAGACAGGGCATGAGGACGAGGATGCTGAGCTGCCAGTGCCTGCATGCTGCAATGAGAGTAGAGAAATTGCCAGTGAGAGTAGGAAAATTGCTTCAAAGCACTCGAAAAGACTACATCATAAATTGAGTTTGATTTCCAACAATCAAGAAGAAAACAAATTACCTAGTACTGCCAAGCACAAGGGTTTCTTTTCCTCTCATCTTTTGTTTTATCCTATGGGAAAACTCAGGGACCTAAAAACTGGTGATAGTAACACATTAGTCAAGTAGCCCATTTCTTGGATTACATCTGGTAACTGGAACATCCCAAACATTCTATAATCTTGAAATTTTTAACCAGTAAATTGCACTACAAAAAATATATATTCAAAAACTGTTAACATCAATGAGTTACTCTCATGTAGCAACTTCGCTGTTGTATTCTTTTACATTGAAAACCGAATATGCTTTTTTTTTAAAAAAAAAGGTTCACCAGCATTAAAAATACTTCAACTACAGATTGGCTGGCTCTTATCAGTCAGTCTGAGGAAATTTACAGCCTGCCAGTCTGAGGAAATTTCTTACAGAATCCAGTTTATTTTCCCACAGCTGTGTTGCTTTGCAAAGCATTACAAGTATTTTTTTTATCAGAATTTGGAGATAGATTCACAAAAAGTATGTACAATGAATGAAATGATAGTTATGAAAGCTGTAAATTTGAAACATGGATTATTAAAGTTCAGACACGATAAAGGACATTTAAATATATCTCCTAAAATTAAAAGGTGATGGTCATACATCATTCTCAAATGAGTCGGCAAAAGCTGTGGGAACTGAGTCTCAGATCCGAGCAGGGTGGTAAATATGGATTTAAATCTGAAAATGGTAACCTCTAACTAAATGTCCTTTCTTCTCAGTGATATCCCTTCCTGCAGTACCTAATTCTGTCATAAAGGGTCAATGTCTCAAACATACTATGTAAAGATTTTGTAATTTCAGTTATCATCCCCTCTCTGTCCTTATATAATGCTCTTTTTCTGAGAATTGCTGAAGTTTTTATGTTAATATTACATCTTATAACATCCTGGAATTACTAAATTCCACAGATGGAGCTGAAACAGAACTGAAGCGACCCAAATATACAGATTTTCTGAAGTCTTCCTACCCCAGGAAAGAAGGCAGTAACTCTTATTTTCTTTGGAAAATGATTGTGTCCTAAATGAATACTCCTGCAATTTGAAGGCACCTTATTGCTATAATTTGTAACAGGAAAACTGTTACTTTTTTCCTGAATGAGATTTCAGCGATATGTGTCATGTCCAAAACAAGTGAATTACTAATAAGCAATACTATGGAGATAACAGCCATGACTGTAGCTGAGAGTGACTTACATTTCATACTTAAAAAAATGAATTCAAATATATTTCTTTAAAATATACAGCATAAAAGATGAACATAAAGGAGCTGTTTAGATACAAATTTAAATAAAAATTGACTGGTAAGTTAAATAAATTTAAAATCTGATCTCTCGAAGCATTTCTGTCAACTTGACCATTATTCAGAATGATCTGGGGCACCAAGAGGAAGTAGATTCTTCTCATACTGCTAAAACCCATATAAAATTTACAAAAATACTTAATGAAGAAATATGGTAGTAGTGAAACTAGGAACAAGTGTTTCTAGTTGTTGTGACAGATTAGATTATACAGTTAACTCTAAACACACAAGGACTGGTTGTTTTTTGATTTTTTTTTTTTGTAGAAATGGCATTCTCCACTGTAGAATCAATACAAAATAAAGGCATTTTCATCAGTTGTTTTGCCAAAAAAAAAAAAAAGGCCAAACAAACAAACAAACACCTAGCCAGTAGGCTTTGGCTGCTTTATTATAACCAGTGAAGTGATGAATCTGCACAAGTGTTAATAATCAAAAAGTCATTTAAGCCTGCATAACTTCAAAGTATTAAAAATAATTATGCAACAGCACTGTTATAGGCCTGTTCACTTAATATAGCTTAAAGAAATAAGAACTACCCAGTGAAGATGCACATACAACTTTAAGGCTGCCTTGTAGTAAGTTATATATATGTAAGAAGGGAAAAGAGGAGGAGGCCCTTATTCAGGAATAAAAAAAAAAAAACAAAACAAAACAGTATATTATTACATAATTCAGAAAAAAAATCCCTCAAATATTAAGTGGAATGTGCAGTTCTTTACCTGATCTTGGAAACATATACCCATGCCGATAAGACAGTATTAAATGGATCACTGCTGCCTCAAAAATGAAGACAGGTTATCCTTTTGTGCTTAAATAGTCTCTGACAGTTGGCCTTTTATTTTTTTTCCTCCTTTCTCAGCTGAAGATTATTTGGGACTGATGATTCTGCTTTGGAGTAAACAAGATCTTCTCTCTGATAGAGTACTTGAAATGGATACTTAAGACACAGCTAACAGTAGAGTCTGTCAGGCATATTAAATAGCTAGTATGTAAATGCCAGGGACAAGGTATAAAGGTATAGAGCCTAACAGCGTTTATGAATCTGCTATATTTGGAAAGATACCAAGAGAAGAAAATCTTTCCCTCATATAGCAAAAATGATGAGAAGAAGAAAACTCTGCTTCTACATCGTTTGGCTGTTCAGAGAGAAGAACAGAAAGAGAAATCAAGTCTGTGAGCATGGAGTAGCTGAAACACCATTCCAGAGGAAATCACCCAAAGGAAAGCTATAATCCACTGGAAGGAAGAGAGAATTTGCCTTTTTCAAGAAAGGGGTATTCCGCTGGGATCATTAACCAGTATGAGCTACACATGGCATATCAGCATTGCCAGCTGTGATGCAGCCATGTCCACAACTGGGGACAAGCGAAAGTTACAAATGGTCCCCAAGTGCCACACTGCTAATGACCAGCACTGAGACCACTGCCTGTAAGCACAATCTGTGCTTTATGTGCAGCACCAAATGAGGCTTATCACCTTCCCTTTAAGCATCCCTGGCTCTAATTCAGACCAGGATACTTCACTGGGGAGGTAGCACACAGGCACTTCGCACTTCCTTTCAGCACAAGCAGGAGAAGTCGACATCTGCTCTTAGAGAACCAAGTGCACTCCTTTCCCTCAAAGAACACGAGTGGGTCTAGCAGCACTTCTTGAGCCCAGTACGTCAAAGGCGAGCAATAATCACACACACACACACACAAAAAAAAAAAAAGTTCTTGGGAGTCTTTTAGGCACAACAGGACAACAGGCAGCTGTTGTCTGGGAATCAAACTGGATTCCACTGAACCGCAAGGAGGTATAAACTTTTTAGGACTAAAGTTTAGCATTTTTAAAGGGCTTGCATGCACTGTATTTTATGCAACAAATCACCTTTAACAGCTGTTACTCATAGCAGTTGCTGCTACCACACACAAGCAATAACATCACATCTTAGCTTTCCGGGATACATCCTTTTTGTTTCCCCAAAATATATTCCTCAACAAAATAATCCCAAATACATGGGAATATGTGTATTATACTTATGCATATTAATGTGTGTATGTGGACAAGCATTTGAAAATAACAGTGTCTCATAAAATTTACCCATAAATTACTGATAGGCATTTTTGGAGGTGATGCCATTTAACACAGCTTTTCACAAGCTGACAGTATCATTGAACTAAGAATGTCTCCTTTTTACTGCCAAAAATGATGTTTAACTACAAAGAGGCATTCAATTTTTGTTCTGAAAGGGCTGTTTTGTACATGCTCCCACTCTCAATTCAGAGCCCAGACCTGTGGATATCATGTCAATACAGAATTTCTGTCTGAACGCTTGGACTTCTTTCTTTTACCTGGAGTAATGGATAGCTTGATGTCCTGCAATATTAAAATAGAAGTCGGTTGTATGCTTCATCTCATCAGTATGTCCAGAGACTTCAATCCAGTGTGATATTGGGAGGCAGTAAACTCCATCTACTACATTGCTCTGGTCATAAACACTGCTTCGATCATGATGGGGCCCATTTCCTAGAACAGAAGAAAAGAAGAGGCTGTGACTCCAGAAAAGCTTTGAAAGATTTGCAGGAGACGTAAACTTAGTATTTAATGCCCTTGCCTTAAATGGTGGCTGCTATCTGTTTAGACTGCATTTCTCGGAACACATCAACAGCTGAAATAGTTGGAAGAGAACCCCCCTGCCACAAAATAAACATTCAGCACTAAAACCAACTACTGGAAATTATTTTGAAGGCATATTAAAGCCATACAAGATTCACAAACCATGAATAGCAGCACTTATAATTTCAAGAATAATTAATTTCATTTAAGTTCCTGGTTCACCCTCTGATGATATTTGATCTTATGGTTCCACATTTCTGCTTCCTGCCTTCCAGCTGTCATCCTTCTGAGATCCAATCCTAGCTCTGATCCAGTACAGCTGCACAACCTTGCCTCAGACTCCCAAGGAAACTGCTAAGTTCTGAGAAAGACCTCGGGAAAACACACAGAATACAACCCTGCAACATAAGAAAGGTAGAACTGCAAACAGAGGTAGTGGTGATGAGACTTGAATTGTTACCAGATGAAGGATTCAAGAGGAAAAACACTACCACAGAAAGGTATAAAATCCTAATGGAGAAAAATAGGCAGACGGAAGATAGTAACAGAGCAGTAACTAAGGTCTGTTTCAGATCTTCACCTGACTAACAAGTGTGTCGCAGCCAAGACTCTCTTGAGTGTCTTACCGGGGACAGCAATCGCATTAATGACTAGAATAGCAGCTCGCCAAATCCTACCTGTCCCTTGTATGCGCTAACAGTCTTTTTGTGCTCATGAGATGCATGTGTCCTGCTTACAGAGTCTCTTCACACACAGAAAAAGACACCCAAAGATAGACAGGAGGAGACTGTTACAGCTGCAATCCTACGGGACCACTACTACCTACAATGGCTTTCGCTAAAATACATTTTTGTTCCCCACAGTCTTCTGGTATTTAATATCTACTACCTTTACATCTTCTTTATAGCAATAGTGTGAGCATTTAGTGCAAACAAGGCAGCCAAATTTAAACACCATGCCATAATAAGCAATCTGAACTGAATTGGGTCATGTCAGTTATCAAAATGTTTTCTGGCTTCAAAAAATGTTATTTTCATGCATATTCATTCGCTCCCCCCCAAACACATTTTTAAATAGGGTAATACTTACTGCCATGTAGGAATTATTGTACAGATTAGAAGTGACCTAGTCTATGGCTTGATTTAATGTAAACCTGTTACATTTATACATTATTAATGATGCTAGAACATTTCTGAGTAAAATTATGCCTGAAGGAATAGCTTCCATTTCACCCTGCATGTAAATCTAGGCCTGGCTTCCAAGCATGACATTTAGGGATATTTACTGTCTAAAGAGCCTTTTAGGAGCTGTTAGAGAATAAGACTATCACATAAGAGCTCAAGCCATCTTCCTGTTTCCAGGTGACATGGAGCACTTTTTATACTAATTGTGAAGGATTACATTTGTTTTAATAAGTATTATTAACAATTAATTGATGATATTATTAAATATGAATTAACTATTACATATAAATATTTGAATAAAATGTGGCATAAATATTAAATATTATTTAAAATATTTATTAAAAATTAATATGTATGCTATGCCTCTGAACCATGTGTAGCTGAACCATTATGTACCTTATGCAAAGGTATCTTGGATAAATAAAATGAATAAAATCAGTAATATATCCTGAAGCTTCAAATTATATTGTTATATTTTTATTTCATGTTTGAAATTGGTTATATTTTTCTTACCTCTTTTAAACCATAATATTTGAAGACAGCAGTGTACATCCACAAATAGAGTAAAAAAAAGGAGTAAAAATGATTATGACATTATGTACAAGAGTGCATCTTAAAACACAATGATTAGCATTGCTGATTTTATACATCCTTTTACCTTCTTTTTAAGTTATTACTTATTACTTAACCTCGCTCCTTTTTATTTCAAGAAATAAAGAAAAAAGTCACTATTACTTCTTTAATAAAGACTTAGTCTTTTATTTAATAAAGTTTTAGTAGTATCAGTAAGGCTGGAGGATCTAATTTAAACTTGGCACTGATTTACTCATTTTTTATTTGTGATGTCATTTTTCCACTGTTATTTCTTCAGTATTTCCATTAAGAATTATTCCAGATTTAAAAAATAAGAAATTTAGAGCTTGATTTCAGTTAAAATATTCTCACCAGTCAGAACAGAGCTGTTTAAAAAAGGCTTTTAAGTTACATGAAAATGCTTTGCATAGTTCTCTATGCCTGAATTTAAATAGAGAGAAATTGTTCGGTAGTACATCTGCCATATTGTCTACCACCTGCATTTACCTGCATGACAGCTCGACTTCCTAAATTCAGCAAAATCCTTCAAGCCCCAAATTTTACATCTTGCCTTCCGCATTTCACACTCTGACAACCATCTGCAGTAACGCTCAGGAGCTAACGGACTCTATCGTCTTTGACATGACTCATTTTTCTCACGTATAAAACACGTTCCATAGCCATCACGGAAATGAGTATCACTCGCCACCCAAAATACCACGAGCTCTTTTAGAATGCAGTTATTAGCTGACTTCTTCAGCAGCTCTGGCAACCCTCCTGGGTGGTTCTCTGTCCCTTTCCCCTCATGGAGACTCTCGTATCATCTCCACCTCTGCCCTCCTGAGCTCCTGCTCGCTGGTGTCTTGCCTCCCGGTTCCTCTTGTGGTGAGCACAAGCAGCTGCCCCTGCTCTTGCTCCTGCTCCAGCTCCTTTCACCAACACTGCCCCTCTTCTCTCTTTGCTTACTGCTGGTAACGGCCCTGGGGAACTGCCACCACCATAGTGCCCTGACTTTCCCATCCCCAAGTTATTCCTGAGGTACATGTGCTTCTATCATTCACCAATTTTATTGCCCACCCTCCTTTTCTTTCTACTTTTTTGGCCTTAATTCTTATGCCTTTTCTCCCCCTTTCTTTTCTTTCACCTTTTCAAACGCTATCAACGTCCTTGCTTGAGAATCTTTTCACTTTCACCATCGTTCATTTCCTACAGCAATGGATCCACAACCATCCATGAATCTGAGGTCAAGACTAAAATGCCACTAGGCATTTGCTTCATTCATTCCCTCTCAAACTTCATGCTTAAAAACATCTTTCTCCATTCGCTATTTATCACTGCTCACTTTTCTGCACCACTCAGCTTCACATCAGCTCAGTCATAAAAAAAAATCAGAAAGTATGCTCCCATTTTGCTTTTAATACTCAGGTGAATGGTAGAAACCTGCATTTACAGCATTTTTTCATGACAGTAACACAACCCTTTACTCCTGTTTACATTACATACAGATTTATGAATTAACACATCTGTTATTGACATTTCTGCAACACAGCATATGCAAATAAAAAAATAAATACAGCATTATGATTTCACAAGAAGAGAAGAGGGCTACCATACCTAAGAAAAACTAATTCAGAAAACTCACAGGAAAAAAAAAAAGATATTGAACTGTTTAGGGCACTGAATTCTCTATCCCCTCTTCAAGAGTTATAAAGAAAGGGAATCACCAAAAATTATTGGGTTCCCAGCACTACCAGGATAGTATCCAAAATATAGTGGTTCCTTCACAGGTAATTCTTACCACAAGTTTGCTTCATAAGATGCATTTAACAAAGAGGTGAAGAAAAAAAAAAGTGCTAGCTTTTGCTAACACATTTTGTCACAGGTAAACTGTAATTTTTTGAATTCTATAAAATGATAGTGCAAGAAACAGTTTCAGATATACAGAATCACATGGCAAGTGTGGAGGAGCGACGTAGAATTCCTCTATACTTTACAGCTACTCTAAAAAGTTCAACTCCCTTAACTTGTGTCTTCCAGAGTGGGTTAATCAAAAATAAAAATCAGCCAACAAAATCAGCTTTCATTCAAGTTAACTGATCATGAACTATGCTTTGAGCAGAAACCAACTGGCACCACTAATACTACTTTGCTATACATTCGGTTACATCCCTGCATTGTGCAGAATGCACATTGTTAAGATGGCCACAGTTTGGGTGATGAGCAGAAACTCTTCATGGAATAACCCTTCACTTTCTACTCCCTGACTCTATAAAAGTCCTGATTTTCCTTTGTCCAGGGCAAGCTGTGCCAGCCTCACTGTCTTGGTCACCCATCTTGGTGTCACCGCAGCTGCATCATCTCTGTTGGCTCCTTGGGGCTTTCATCACTCTCAGATTCAGAAGAGGTGGCACAGGACTTCTCAGAAGTGCAACAGGAGTTTGTGCCAAGAACAAAATAAACACCAGAACTGCAAAGTAAGCACCTCTCCGACAGGATGGCACCCACAACAACCTGGTACCCCTCTGTACACTGAATGCAATGTTGATTTGATGCTCACCCCGCAGTTGCAAATGAGGTAAATTCCTTTCCGAATCTGCATGACTCGACCACGGGAACTTCCATTAGCAAGACAGTGAGCTGGGCAGGGTACTAGCTACGGGTAGTGATCAAAGAATAACCAAATTAAAGGTTATTCATTTCCTGACTGCCCCTTCAGTCCCATTTTTGCATCTGAAGCTCCAAAAGGCCTCATCAGCCAGGTGGGAACGCCAGCCTGACTGTGCTGGGCAACTGTGTCCATCAATCAGGGTACATCTACATCCCTGAGGGACATAGCACAGGGAGAGACTGCCCCATTATGGTCCCAGGACTACATGTACACACCACGTCTTTACCAGCACCAAAGTCTGCACCACTTGCCAGTCCTACACACATACCATACATACAGACTTGACTATGAGAAGACCTTGTCTCCAGCATTGGGTGCTCTAGACGTGGATTTGCTAGAAGGCAAACAGCTTTAAGCATGCCCTTGCTGAATTTTATTTTTCTATACTCAAGAAAATATTGTGTAGCCTTAGAGATTTGGGGGAGTTTTAGCAGTATTTCAACAGTTCAGCTTTTCCCCTCCTACAGCCAGTAGTAAAGCAAAGAAAATTAAATCTATTTTCCACTCACTCACTCATCTTTGGGGAAAAGAAAGCAAGCACAGATGCACTTTGAGAAAGGGCAATACACAGCAGGAAGGACATGTTTTACAGCACAGACCACTTTTAAATTAATATTTTTCTTGATCTTGTTTTTACTGATTTTTTCCAAGTGGAAAAAATGTTGGTTTAATTATTTATTTTAAGGAAACAAACACAAAACTCATTTGAAAATATGTAAAACTCAGCCATAAAAATAGTAAATATCAGTAAATATCTGAACAACCCTGGATCATCTTTATATCTTACTAATCAGGCATGTGACATCCGTGCTTAAAGAACAAAAGGAACCTGGAAGAGTTTACAAGAGTTACAGGGCCTACTCTAAAGGACAGCATAGCACTCCTTTCCACTCAATGAGCTCCAGAACTATTTTGTTTAAAATCCATTTTTGTAACTCTTCACAGCAAAAATGCTTATCTCTGAAAGGGAAATTTAGGTTTCTATAGGTTAAATTATAAAGTCCCTTTGCTTTTGTAATCTCCTTTCCGCTCTTTTTTCGCTCTTCCTGCTTCTGATAGCTGGTCAGCAGAGCCTACAGATCTAAGGAATTGTTCAAGAATAAAGTAATCAGCAGCCCTACTTACAGTTCAAACTTCACACACAGTGCTCTCCCAAAATCTGCGTGATTGCACACATGGTCTCCAGTTTGATGCGAACAAAGAATGATCAAAGTGCCGGACTAAGTAAGGGGGCTGAGCAAACAAACAAGTTTACAACCAAACACCTCCATGCAACTGAAAATGGTACTGGCAAAAGATTGACACAAGAACAAAACAAAGGAAAAACAGATGCAGATACAAGCGAGAAAAAGATTATCCAGTGATCAAGGACTGGAAGAAGATAAGCACGAACAAGATGACCATCTGAAATTTGAGCTAACCACATGCAGGAACAGAATGCAAAGAAAGGCCTTCAGTAACTATTTTATTACAGCTGTACTGCAGAGATAAAAGAAAACAGTAAAGTTTAAGCCGACACCTTGCCAACTATAAACTCATTGTCACACGGTGCATGCTGAGGGGCTGCAGACATGCCCTACACGGCACAGAGTCCAAGCCACAGGCTTGCCTCTTCCAAACCTGCGAAGCCCAATAGGGGCATGGTGCATGTTTTAAACCACCGTTAGTTCTGGAAAACCACAGGGCTACTTAAATCACTGAATATGCACAGTAGCTACAGTAGCAATCTAAAAATTCAAACAGAGCAGTCAGACAAAAGCAGCTTCTTGCTTTCAAATCATGCTCATTCTTATAATCCTTGTCATCAATTTCCCATGGACCCAGTAGGCCTTATCCATGTTGAATCAGGCTTTAAGTATGTAGAACTATTATAAATACTTGCATTTGAAATATTGAACTAGGTCCTTTAACAGAAAAATGAACATCTGACCCCTGGAAAAGCTTAATAATCCCCTAAGAAATATAAACACTTTGAGGGTGAGGGGGAGGTAAAGAACTAGATAAGGTTTGCTTGTTTGCTTGTAATAGCATAAGAAAAGCAAAAACCAAAACAAAAAATTCCCTAAAGGATGGATTTGAAAGATGAGGCTATTTGCTACCTTTGTTCTCTTTACTAGTTATACTAAATGAAAAAGCCCCAAGGTCTATTTTGATTATTTACTGTGTTACTGCATGACGTTATTATCAGATGTTGTAATCGGACTTCCGCCACCACACCTACAATATTGAAATTTACATCAAATTCTGCCATGAAAGTCTCCCTGCTGCCTGTTAAGAGCGAAATTCAATCTCTGATGCCTTGAAATAGGCTTTGCCTCAGTCAAGGAATTGCTATT